CCCCCTGCGGGATACCACCAAACAAGCTAGGAAAAGAAACAGAACTTTTCTTTATCTTCTGTTTATTGATAAATATCCTTTCAGGTGAAAGACATCTCCAACGGTAGTTGTGGTGATTCAGCTGTTAATAATGATGTTGGACAGAGAAAAGCAGGTGCGAAATCTGCCGGAGCACTGAGCCAACCAACTGTGGCTAGCTCGACCGAGAAGGAAGCTATTGACAAAGCCTGCTTGAAAGCCAAAAAGAAGTCTTTCAAGAGTCGTGTTACCAAGATGCATCTCAGCTTTATGATCTTAGATCCAGCCTTAGGACTGCATAGGAAGAAGAAACACAAACGAATGAAACATAAAATTGGAAAGAAAAAGCGCTGTGATGCCAGTTCCTTGAATGAGAATAATGCCTCCTCTGATCTTGGGCCATCTACATCCGAGCTATCCCATACTTTGATCTCTTCTCCAACGCATTCTGAAAGAAAGAGAAAGAAGTCAAAAGTTAATTCCAATGAGAAACCTTATAGTGCTGGACACAATGGCGATCTGCTGAGGAGTACAGTTGATGTGAGGGTTTTGAACAATGGCACTGTATTAGCAAATGACAAGCAACCACAAAAAAGTTCCAGCTCGGCCTCAGTAGGAAACCAAGGTAGTGACATTAAACAGTTCACAGATGCTAACAAGCAACCACAAAAAAGTTCCAGCTCGGCATCAGTAGGAAACCAAGGTAGTGACATTAAACAGTTCACAGATGCTAAAGAGACCAAAGGAGTTACAACACAGAAAGGTCTGGTGAACATGCTTACCAGGGGTTTAGAGTCAAGTGGTGAGTTACTTATCTGCAAGTTCATGCCGCTTTGTGATTTTATTCCTTCTATTGAAGCTTTAAATAGTCTTTGAGCTTTGCTGTTATCAGCTCAAGTATAGCTGCTTATCTTATTTGATTGTCGCAGTTGCTCGTTGGGATGACGTAGAAGTTCCTTCCTTGAATGGTGTTGAAGCACAGAACGGAAATTGTGTCAGCATTGGGTACATTGGGGATGAATGGTGAGGTTTCCTACCTGTAATATGGACATACATGCTTGTGTTTAAAGATCATAAAATGTAGCCCTAAAATGCTGCTCCGCCCTCTCCCCCCAAATGCCCCCCCTTATTTTTCCTTGTTATTGATGTAGATAATATTATTCGTACTACTTTTGACAACCACCTATATATTATCAGGGATGAGGAATATGATAGAGGGAAGAGGAAGAAGGTTAGGAACTCCAAAATTGAATTTGGTGGACCGAACCCTTTCCAAGAAATTGCAAGCAAAAAGGCAAAGGTAAAGAAAGCGAGTCTTGGGCGATCTAGCTCTGCAAACCAGCCTTTCAGGATATTATAATGAATCTGGACTACATATTTTGACTTTAACCAATTGAGAAACACAACTCGAGTTCCACAGGAGTGTCACTGAGATGGTAACGGTTGTATCCCCAGGCCCCAGCTTGGTCCATATTAGCTTTGGCTGCTAAACGTATTTTTAGCCTGCTATTAGAAGACTTGAGCAAGTGATGTGTCTTATTTCTTCTTTACCTTGTTTTTCACCAGTGTTTTGCCATCAATTTTGTTTTGTGAGAGGTCTTGAGAAAGAATGTACCAGTGTGTGGACATTGTGGATCATGAGTCATTACTCATTAATGAATAAGATTCTGGCTTGAAAATGTTTACCTGTGTTCTACCTGTTTGGCCATAAATATTTAAATGTTCAAATTTTTGTTAGAGGAATATTCCAACTGAGATAATGGTTTCACTCAAATCAGGTGTTTTCTAAAGGAAATTTGTGTTAAACACAATTATATTTTCAAAAATTTCAACTGTAATTTCAAATGATTGAAGGGGGTCTTGGCGTAACTTGTAAAGTAGATGCTGGGTTCGAGCCGTGGAAACAATTTCTTGCAGAAATACAGGGCAAGGCTGCGTCCAACACATCCTTGTGGTTCGGCTCTTCTTGTATCTTGCACATACCGGAAACTTAGTGCGCCGGATTGCTTTTTTTTTCTTCAAATGCTTTCCTTTATTTTCTTAAATTTCCTACTTGGCGTCAGAGAGTGCATTGTGTGGTAGTTTTGAAGATACCAATATACCATCATGTCAAGTTTCCTTAATTTGGCTCACTGTTTATGGTGTCCATTTTTGGTGTGACATTGCTACTCTACAGATTATTTCATTCTTTGAATAGAACTTTCCATTCAGATAAAAACTTGCATCTAATTTTGTTCCTAGTTGATGTCTCTACAGTTAAGCTCCTCTATCATTGGGGAACATGTGAGATGGTTTATGATACCTCAAGTGAATTTCACATGGACAAAACATAAAACAGATATTGAGTAGTATTTCTAAACAAGTCTTAGATCCCGGTGACTAGGAGTGATAAACGGGCGGGTCGGTTTGGATATGGCTCGGGTCGAAAATGGATAATGAAAAAATGGACCAATTATCCGACCCGACTTATATTTTATATAGATAAAAAACGGGTTAACCGATGGATAATATAACATATGATCACTTTTGGGAGAATTCTTAGTTTCCCTAACTTGAGGAACCCCCTATTTGAGGCTTTACAAATGTAAAAGTTAAACACATTGGTTATCCATTTTCTAAATGGATAATATGGTTCTTATCCACATTTGACCCGTTTTTAAAAAGTTCATTATCCAACCCATTTTCTAGTGGATAATATGGGTGGTTAACTATTTTCTTTTAACCATTTTACCACCCCTGCCGGTGACATATTTTAAAGCCATGCGAATTTGGGCTCAAAACGAACAATATCATCAGTGACCAGGGTTGTTAAATAATCTGTCCTTGAGCTTGACTCATTTCTTTAGAAGTATTATTACAAGATCTAATCAAATGAAGTGAAGGCATTTTTAATGAATTGTATTTGGGTTGTTTTTCTCTATTATGATCTAATGAGAGAAGCCATAAAAGAATATTGTTAGACTATTCCGTGGTATAGCAAATTAAAATCCAAGTTCATTTCTTAAAAAGTTTGCCCGTTGTAGACATTGGATATTATTCTTTTTACTCACATTATTAAAATGAGAGGAAAATGCAAAACTATGTAAACTTGAAATAATTTTCGCACAAGTTATGTGGAGATTGATGTATTTTTTTATGCTAAGTATAAGGTGGAGTAAAAATACGTGTATTAGCAATGCAAAGATTAGACTAAAGGATACAAATACTCTTAAAGTATGTAGATTATATATAACGATATTTCCTTCATTATTATTTACCGTATAATGACTCTTTCATTATTAATCATGCATAACTAGTTGTTTTATTACTAATTCCTACATCATTAATTCCTATATAACATGTCTTCGAACCAAATGATCGATGTTAAACTAATTAATTTAAAATTATAATAAAAACCCTATATTTATCGAAGTAAAAAGCCAATTTTTTCCTCCAAGTAAGAGCCATTTGACTCCGTTTACGCCAATATCATTTCAAATGTCATTCCTATTTCATTATCAAGATTCCCAAACAAAATATAAGTGTTTAATAAGAAAAACCAAAGATTCATAGATAAATAGGAAAAGGTCATCTGGTTAATTTTCTAACAACAATAATATATTCAGTGTATTTTTATAAGTGGAGTTTGGGAAAGATAGTGTATATGCAGACCCTACCCCTATCTTTTACGGATAAAAAGATTGTTTCTGATAGATTCTCGGCTCAAAATAAACATAATCACAACAATAAAGAGAAAGAAATAAAGTAATGAAAAAATTATGGAAAAGAAACAATATTAACAGGGAGATTGACTATATCCTTTAACATTAGTTTAAAAACCTTCATAAAATCTAAAGAAGAAAATACAAATATCAAGAATTTAAATTTCCAAAAAAGGTTCCATAGGAAATTAGGAATTTCAAACCGCCACCCAATAATCCAGACCATTCACCCCCCAATCCCCCTTACCCCCCNGCTTAATGATTCTTTCATTATTAATCACAAATAAATAATTTTTATATTATTAATCCCTCCTATTTCATTATCAAGATTCTCAAACAAAACATAAAGTGTTTAAACGAGAACAACCAACGATTCATGGATAAATAGAAAAATGTCATCTGATTTGTTTTCTCTTATGTCCTTTAACATTTTTTTAAAGGACTTCATAAAATCTAAAGAAGAAAATCCAAAAATCAAGAATATAAATTTCCAGAATTCCACCTTTTTTTTCCTCCACTAATCTTGGTAAATAAACCAACTTTTTAATGTATAATAATATTCCAGCTTAAAAAGTAATTAGGTTTTGGCTTCAATCATTTGTAAAATAGGAGGGCACAAGGCTCGAGCTCTTTCAAATTTGGTATCAAATGTGCTTTCCATAACATTTTCTCCTTATAATTTTTTATTTATCTTAATAGATAATATCACAAAATGTAAACCCCATTATGTCTTACATGTGATAAGAGCAGTTCGGTACACGAAGTATTTAACATTCACACGATGTCCGAAGAGGACTGCATCTCAAGGAATGTGATGTAGGCAACCTACCTTGATTCAAGCATCAATGACTGATTCCATAACTCGAATCCGTGACCTATAGATCACACGATAATAATTTTACCGTTGCTTCAAAGCTCCCTTTCAAATCACATATATTGTATGTTATTTAGAAAATCATATATAACTTTTTAAGTAACTACATTTTCATTTCAATCTAAACTTTTCATGAAAATGAATAAAAATATATTTGCTAATTTATTTGTTTCCTTCTCTAGCTTTCTAGACGTTATTAAAAGTTGCTGCCGCCGACCTCTTTATAGAAGCATTTTGCAAATATTTTTATTTTGAGCTTTTCTCTCCACAAAAAGGAAAAGAAAAGACAGAAATATATTCCATGTTAACTTTGATATTAACCAAAAAAAATAAAAATGAAATGAGCTACAAATTTTGACTCTAATATGTAGATAAATCACTCGTAACTAATAGAATTTTTTGACAATCTGTTATTAATCCGTCGCTCAATAGAATTAGCGACAAATTTTTCTGTTTAGTTACAGAATTTGTCCGTCGCTAGTTTCTTATTTTTAGTAATGATCTTTCTCTCACCCCAAAAAAAAACCCAAAGGGAGTTACTAATAGTTTTGAGTCAAAATACTCAAATATATGTATAGTAATTAAGAGTACTCTCCAAGTTAAAATCCCTTCTATATTTCTTTTGTAACATATATAATTCCTCAATATAAGATTACAAATTACTACTCATACTGAAGTCGATTGGTGAGTGATTTCTCCAAGATTTCTATTAATAGAAAGTCAAATTTTTAGCAGAATATCCATTAGAAAAGACCCACTTAACTTTCCATAAATACATTAAGAGAAAAATTATGATACATACAACCATGACATTAAATGACCAAATTAATTTCATAGAACTACTCACAAAGGTAAATGTAGTATGTAATGACAGTTTAGCCCTAGTCACCACCAAGGGTCGTGGACCCCGTGGTGTGCTAAACAGTGAAAAATCAGAAATAGCGTGATTTATAATTGATAATTAAAATACAGTAATAGTTTCAAAAGTAATCGAAATTTAGTCATTTTTCATGTAAAGATAAAATTTGAACAAAAATACCTTTAAAAATTCGAAAAAATTCCAACATAATATTTTGTAGTTCGAATTTTTTACATATGAGATTTCAACATAATGTGTTGAAATTTATAATGTGTCAGAGTTCCAACATAATATGATGGAAGTTTATACGCAAAAGCTCCATAATCTAACATATTATGCTGGAGCTTTCCGTGTTGCAGCTAGGATATTTTTATCTAGATTTTACCCCGCATAAAATAATAGTAGCTATTTTTCAATGAATTTACAAATATTGATTATTTTTCGGTTACTAGTCTAAAAACTAGCTAGCCCATACTATTTTCACGAGATGAATAGTATATCTTCACCGAGATATCGAGTTTCGGCCATGCAAATAATGATTTTTTTTATATAGGAAACACTTTGCCATGTAACAAGCGTTATACAGTGTGAATTCGAATTAATCGAAGGTCTAATACGGGTCAAACACTGTGTGGGAAACAAAAACAAATATATAGTTCTAGTCAAATTTTTTTTTTGGTTTCCCACCCGGTGTTTGGTATCCGCATTGGAGTCCGATTATATCCAGATTCGTGCCAAGTAGGACCCCATTCGGGGGAAGCGTTCTCTATAAAAAAAAGTCCATACCCTAGGCTCGTATCCGAAATCTCTGGTTAAGGGAGGAGCAACCCTATTCGCAACACCACATCCATTGATGGTTGTAAAAGACTTATTTATTTAATGTCAGTGTGTAAAAAGTAAATTGCAAAAAAATATGTTGTTTATTATTACTCCCACTAAATTAATTGATTAATAAAATTGTATTGATGGAAATTGCATGGAAAGTGAATAGACAAACGGCGGTGTGAAGTATAAGTAGTGTTGGCAAGATCATGTGACATAAATAAAAAAAAGTGAATAATTATGGAGAAAAATAGTAATTATTTATGTTTGTGGGGACTGGAAAAGCAAATAATAAAAATATATATTTGATTGATTTTTTCTTACTCATCCATCCCCTCAATCAATGCAAATCATTAAACTCCCCCACTTGTTTTTCCTGTCGGTGTTGGCGTGCTCCCATTTGATCAAACTCCCCCCTTCCCCACACACCCTA